CTGGATCCCTTGTGCCTTTTCTGCCCGTGCTTCCGCCCAGGAATTGTGAGCACTCCACGAAGCCTTCCCTCTCGCAACGCACCCCATTCCCAGCTCAACCCCGCGTTTCGCCCACAACGTTCAGGCCATGTCCTGATCTCTCCCTGCCTGCGCATCACAGGACCTGGATCCCCTTTACGCATTTTGTAGCGTTCGGGATTAGAGTACTTCACTGAGCCATCCTCTCGAAAGATGCCTCCCCAGCGCACATCGCTCGGTCACATCGTCCGGGCTCCCTCCCCGCCTGCGCTGCACGGGACCTGCATCCTTTAGCTTTTTCTGCCCGTGCTTCCGCCCGGAAATTGTGAGCGCTCCGCGGAACCCGCCGCTGCCACTTGCGCACCTTGAAACACTTTAGCACACGGAACTCATCGCATGCGCACAGGAGGGTTCCTGCCGCACGGCGGCGCGCCTGCCGACTCTTCAATCCCGTCTCTCCACCCGCCTTGCCGTGTGTTCACGAAGTCCGGCGGGGCCGCAAGGTAAATGTCGGGGGGTAAAGCTGGAGCGCGGCACCTGAACTGGGGTTCCGGCGTCGGACGTGGATCGGAGACGCATCGGGGGAGACAGAACTCGGGAGTCCGACGTCGGATGCCATCGGAGCTGCATCGGAGGCGCTCCGATATCGGACTCCGAGAATTCTGTAACCACAGTGTTTGTGTCTGATAAACAGCGAGAGTCAGTGTTGAGAAGTGTTCTGATGAAGGTCACTGAAGATCATGAAAATGTCTTTTGACGGAAGTTGGTTCCTTGTGGGAGTTCGTTTGCAGGATGGCTTCGATCGCACTCTTGTTGTGCGGGGGCAGCATATGTTCCAAGGGCTGTGCGGACCAGGCTTGGTGTTTATGCCGTAAACACAAATCGTATTTACGTTTTTACGAGTGGAAATATGTTTTAGGTTTTCACTCGTACAACGTAAGTACAGCCTCGTGTACATAAGGACGGTACGTACAGACTTGGGGAGTCTGGGGAGCGGCAGTCAGACGCGCTGGAATAGGTAGCAAACGAACTTTTGTTCCAAGCCGTCGTTGCCCATGCCGAGAGCGACATGGAGTGTTGTGGGTACTGGAGAGGCCGGAGGACTGACCATTGTACGCGGCTTTCATCGTAAAAACATAAACGTAAACGAACCTGGATGTCCCAACGAGCCGTTAACTAAAGAAACTTGCGAGGAACTTGTGGGATCTCTCCTGCAATCATTCAATGCTTTAGTCATAGTTTTATTGGCGATTTTAGTTGGCAAGGATTTCCTGTACTGCAGATCTGCAGATTAACATTCTAACAATTGCATAATGAACTATTCAGCAACTGAATGTCAAACAGCAGATTGGAGTTGGAAGCCGAACTTCTCTCTGTTCGGATCCCAAATCCCTCCTCATTTTGTCTGTTGTTGAAGGAAATGCCGTTGATGTGATTCAAACGGCCCCCTTTGGAGTGCACACGGGAAGCGCGAATCCACGATCGCCGATGCTTCGACGGCGTTGGCACACGGCCAGATGCAAGGCCACACCATACACACAACGCCCAGGGCTTACATATTTATTCACCCTTCCCACAACGAAGGGCCTTGCCGACGGTGGCAACGGCCCCCGCAACCGAACAGTTCGAATCTCTTTGCGCCCACAGAACTTTCCTTTTCACGTGACAAGGACCATCATCCATCACCAACCAGCCATACCTCGCTTCAGAGATGCCCACTCATCGCCACAATACAACCCACTCTATAGCACATATACTAAAGGTGCCCATACACTCAATGGCAATGTAGAGATATTTCAGCTGTGAGCGCGACCCCAACATAACATTTATCTCTGAAACGGATGGCATCTCCCACAACATTCAAATTGATGCTCACAAAAGTCCCATCACATGAGAAATAATTCTGTGAGTTCTAAAACACATTTTTCTTTTCTTTGTATAAATTCAGAGTGCCTTGCATGCAAAAAATATTCTTGAAGTGCATACAAGTCGCACACCATAATGCAGAAGTTATCTACCCAGTGAAACGGTGGTCATTATGCGGTGTTGCGAACACTGTTTCAATGATCTGTCCCTGGTACCGGCGGTAGGCTTTTGTTCCTGTGGCCCGTGTCAGCGAAAGGAAAGGAATGAAAGGAACTTTGCGGCAACAATGGTGTGTTGACCGTACGATGGTTTATTTGACCTTTTTCATTTGAAAATCAAGCGTTGCCGATTCTATTCTGCCTGTTTTCACTCACCACTGCGTACGTTTTCTTTTCTTTTTTTTCTCATTCTGCATCTTATCCATTCAGTGCAGGTTACACATGCAACGCCAACTTGGCAGCCTATTTTGTTTGCTCTTAAAGCAAAGCAAGTCAATTGGCAAGGCTTGTCATCAAGGGCGCCGTCTCCTTGCCTTGGCACCTGTTCAATCCCGCCTCAAAATGGCCCCTTTCGGCATCTCTCTCAAAAGCTGATTCCCGCCGTGGAGGACACCTGTTTGGAATGGCGTTGTGGTTTCAGTACTTTCGCATTTAAGCTCCAGTGTTGCAGTACAACGCGGAATGATTCAATCAATGAAGGTGTGGTCGTTGTGAAACACCCTCAGTCAGCATCAAATCGGCACCCGGATCAACAGAAAGATGCATGCAACGGCGCTATGTGAGGGAAGGTCCCACTTAAGCAGAAAATTTCCCAACCGACGTGCATCGTGGAACAAGCCAATTTGGTTTTGAGTCAATGTGCGCAGAAGCACTACATTTCGCAAAAAGGGGCTTCTCCTGCACACCGAAAGCATGCATCAGAAAGTGTGCTTGACGTCAAAATATGTAGTGCGATGAGCTGTGCTAGATTTAGGACGTTGGAAATCCTGAATTTCCCTGTCTGCCATGCCTGATTTTCACTGCATTGTAATTGAATCTTAGGATTTAAGTCAATCTGCTACTTCAAGAAGAATTGCAGATGTGAGAATCGAGCATGTGCAACCCTGCAGGTCTAGGTTACAGTCCTATCGATCGGTAGATACCACAAGCTGGCTCGCGAGCCAGCTGACCCGCGCCTTTGGAGGGCAAAAACTTGGATCCGCCGAATCTTTCTTTAAAAATGGCCATCAATCCCACGCGATTCCTGTCAGAGGAGGGGTCAGATCCTAACGAAGACGTCTCGTACTAAGTAGTAAAGAGAAGAGAAACACACACATTGTTCGCGCAAACGGTGCCCTTGTGGCAGCCGCCAATGTACGTGGGGTGCGAAAGGACTACTAACCCTTTGCACCTCACCCTAATAGGATGGGGCGATAATCAAGCAATGTGCAGTACAGATTCCATAAAACGTGGGAGTGTGAGCAGCTCGCAGCGGCACCTCTCTCCCGACAGGCTGAATCTTTGCCCGTTCACACCGAAACCGTCAACCAAATTTCCATGTTTCTATATTTTGCACTCTGAAATTGCATTAACAACCACAAGCTGGGAATTGATTAGAGCAAAACACACTTTCCTTGACATAGAGCAAGGACGGGCCAGGAAAATACCTAGTCGGGCGCAGGTCCTGTGTCCACCAGACAGGGATGGGATTTTGCACTGGTGACGTTACCAGTCTTGCCCCTTGAATGCACTTCCCAAGCGCAGTTTTCGACTGTGCTCAATGCCGGGTTGCTACCCAAAGGATTGCAACAAATCCGTGGTCTTGCTCCAACCTGCAACCGGATCAGTAGGCACTGATTGGATTGAATTAGCTGATGTACTGTGGGGGTTTCATCCATGCTGTGGCAGCTTGGGGTATGCGTGAAAATTCTTTACTTATGACTGCATGAGTGCACTCCGAATTGTCACATCACAGTGCGGGCGACTGCCCCGACATGGCACACCTTGCAATCAGAGTCCGATATGCAACTGGGACCGGACGAGATGTAACCGCGTGATGCAGTGCGGTGCCACAAAGGGCGCAACACTTTTATCCCTTCCACACTGTAACGTACCTTTGGACCTGAAAACTGCAGGAAAAGTACAAAACTACAACGTTATTCCACAATTGCAGAACTCCTCAGAGCAGAACCCCGTTTGGCTCCAACGTGGCTGGGTTTGCAGAAACCCGTGGTGACATTGTGCGATTGCACCAGCAGGAAGACGTCTCCAAACGGCAGACCGTAGCAAGAACGAACATTGCAGCGCCACGAGCTGCTCGGGACTGTTCGTGGTGTCTGTGTGGCTCGGAAACAGAAGTAGCTGCGCGAGGGCGACGGCATTTGTAGCAATGAATTCAGGGTAGAGCTGCTGTTCCGTCGGTGTCCAAGAGCAAAAAGCCAGGAACGCGTTTATGGGATATGGGAAGCACTGGTGGGCATTCGCCAACGACATAGTAGCTCGGAATCGCAGCCGCCTGCAAGGGCACGTGAACGCCTTGTCCGAGGGTGCCTGCACCCTGGGCGCAGGTAGGAACGGCTGTTGTGACAGCGTGGCTTGAACATGGGCGAATCGCCAAAACAGTGGCGTTCCTTGTCTGCTGCGCCTTGGCTCTGGAGTGCAGAGACTTCAACATGCAATTGATCGCGATCAAACTGATGAAGATGTCGGGGGTCCTTCGACATCTACACACAGCTTGCGTCTCCAGTTCATAGACGCACTTTCAGTTTTGTAAAGGGCTCAGTTGAGAAAGCTGCTTGTGTGGCCATGCAGCAGCGCTGTGCCTTGTTGCACGCTGGATTTGACGTCAGATGGCGCCCATGCGCTATAAAGTATGTGTACAATCTGCGTCGCAACAAACCTGCCAAAGCCATCAAACATTGGCATCAGCAAACAGACGAGCTTGGTTTCCATCCGCATTGACCCTGCCGCCATCCCTGCCACTTCTTCTCCCATTCGAATTTCTACTCAGTGGCTGCTAGTGCGCAGGTGCCGATCCATTGCGCCCACTTCGTGCACGCAATTCCCCAGCGTGGAACCCCACGAACTGCAAAGCCCCCCTGCAGCCCTGCACGCACAAACGCTGGCCTTCCGGGGGCACTATTTTACTTGAATAATTCCCGCCGATATGAGTTTATTCAATTTCTTCATGATCTCCGGGTTGGTGAGGTGCTTCTGTGCCGCCCTCGGATCTTGCTGGAAGTCCTGAAAAAAAGTCACCACAGCAAGACCATGAGACCATGTTTACACTGCATGTCACCGCACTGCTGCATATCCAACACCTTGTGTTCACTCTTCCGCAATAAATTCGACCAGCTGTAACGACTTGAATTGGCGCAAAACAGACAGGCCAAAGGCAGACGAGTCCACTGCTGAAACAGCACATTCCGCTGCCCCAGTACCATTGCTGAAACAGCACATTCTGCTCCCCCAGTACCAAGTTAGATGCCACTTACATTCAACACTTGAGCCATGATGGGGTCTTTCAAAATGTTTTGAACCTCTGGATCTGCCATGGCGCGTTGCTGCCGCTCTTTTAGCTCCTCCTGGCTCACATCTCCCCGATTGAACCTACATAACAGCGGAAATGTCTGGTTTAAGACAAGGACAAAAGTTATTTGTCCACAGCAAAATACACACCGTTTTGCGTCCATTTGAGACGACGCCAAGCTCGGCCCAGTCCCACCAACCATTGCCCAATGAGCTGGCGGCCCACCACCAAAAGGTCTGAAACCAAACCTCTGTTCGCACCCAACACAACGAGCCCCAAAGAAGCAGTCACCTCTCACCTATTTATGGCTTCTGCACATCGCTTCATGCCGTCTCTGAGTTCCTCGTTGTCTTTGTCTTGCTCCAGTCCCTGTCGATACGTCTCCAGCGCCTTGTCGTACTCCTTCATGAAGAACTGGACAGTTCCCTTTCGGGAGTATCCCTTTGCAAACGTGGGCTCAAGTTCGATGCACTTCTCCGCATCCTTTAGCGCTTCGTTGAGAGCACCAAGCTTCGTGTAGCAAGCCGCACGGTTGCTGTACAGCTTGTACGCCTCTGGGTTGACCTGGTGGACAACAAATGCGGCCAAAGTAAATGGTCAGCTAGCAATGAGTAAGTGCGCACAGATGCACTCCTGAACGTGAGCTTGAGTAGCACAGGAAAATGTGGTTGAGTCAGAAGCATAGTGGCAAAAGCGGTTCATAGCCACAAGAACAGGAACCAAACAACGAAAAGAGAACAAAAAGAACAACAAATGGAACCAAGGGGGCCCAGGAAGGCCTACCTCAGGTGGGCCCCGCTTCAATGCTTCGGTGTAGTGCTTGACTGCCTCTGGGAACTGGTGGTCTTTGAATGCTTGGTTGCCCTTCTCCTTCTCCTCTCCGCACTTCTCCATGTCGATGTATGCCTTCTCCTTGTGCTCCTTCAGAGAGCGCTCTGCCGCGTTCAGTGCCTGCAGCGTGTCTGCATTTCTGTGCTCTGTCAACGATTTGTTGAAGATGGCGATGGCATCCTGCAGCTCGCCCATTTTCACGAGTGCCTTTCCCTTGCGTGTGAGCGCACGTGCGATGAGCTTGTAGTCAGTGCGCAATTCCCTGCCACGGTCCACGGCCTTGTCGCAGTCTTCAATGCAGGTGTCATACTTTCCCATCTCCAAGTACACAGCTGCAAAATCAAAGAATCCACCAAACAGTAAACAACAGGCACAAGATGAATGGTCTGCAGCCATGAGAAACAGCAAGCTGCTCCCATGTACAACAACAGCCCTGATGCCACAGCAGCCGTTAGCAATGCTCCTGATTCCCGAAGCATGGGTGCCACACTGACCAACGGGACAATTGCAAAGTCAATCAAATCGTTTCTTGCTGATTCTGAGCCCATACATAGAGCGCCACAACTGGCAAGAGGCAACAAGACCAGTGGTATCCTCACTGGCTGCACTTGCCGTTGAAAACATGCTTGTGTCAGCAGGTGCACAACTGGCCACTAGGTGCACATATGCAGAAAATACCAGGCGAAACAAGGGCCACAAGTAAGGCGAGTGAGATTTTCCTACTTGTCTCAAAGAGAACTGAGGGCATACGCACTGGCATGGGCACCGCAGGTGGTCCTGACAACCTTGATATCCCACCATGACATTGCTTGGGTTCAATAGGCAAAACTCTGCCCAGTTGCCCACCAACTGCAAGGCTCTGCTATTTTGTGTTACCTGCTCTGTTGGTGTAGAAGGAAATGTCCTCATCCCACAACTCCAGAGCCTTTGTGTAGTGCTCTATGGCTACTTCAAAGTTCTTCTTCTTGTATGCAGCATTTCCTGCCTCTTTCTCCTTCTGGGCTGCAGCCTGGCTGGCTTTTTTCTTTTCCTCTTCCTCATCAACAGGTGCAGGGGGAGCCTCAGGCTCATCAGGCACCTCTTCCATCGCAGCTTCCTGCAGTCCATACCAGCATTAAGGTTTTCCCTGAGCACCTTTGGAGCCAGCAAGTTCACCTGCATGTGCCAATGAGGACAGCAGCCAACATCACCAAATGGGTGAAAAATCAGCGACTTTTGATATCCTGATAGATGCAGTCAGTGAGGATTGGCACGCAAGTACTCCTCTTGGAAAGTGTATTGGGCAAGCCCACATTTGACTAGTCTTCACAGGGAAGAGTAGAGTCATGGAGCACAGAACCCCAGCATGCCAGCAGCACACCCACAACACCAAAGCTAACACACTGTAGCACCAACACAAGACTTTGTTGTGTCCAGACACTTTAGACACTTACAGCAGCCTGTGTGTCAGCATCTACTTCACTTAGAAATGGTACAGACATTTCTGTAGTACCTGTACAAGGGCCTGGCAACTTCTCAGGCTTTGCCACTGATCCAAAAGCCCTCACCTGTTCTTCTGCTTGCTCAGAAGAAGCTCCATTTTCGCCACCCATAGCACCAGCCATCCCAGCCATGTTGCTAGGGTCCATGAACGACATCCCCAGACCAACAGAGAAGGCCTGACAAAAACAAGGACCAACATTCCTAATGGCACCAAGGACAGAGCGCAAGAGTGGTGCACGGGTTTTGTGCAACCACAAAGGCACAAATTCACCAGATGTGCAGGTGCCAACGGGGCTACCAGCTTGCAACGTTCTCGCTGACAGAACAGCTATTATATCTGTGCTACAAACTGCTGGTTCCTCAGCTTTGGGGGTATTAGGGTTTTGGATGCAACCCCCTACTGGAGAGCTTTTGACTTTGAGCAAATACACCATAGACCACTTGGATGCTGCTACAAGTATGAGAGCTTCCCCATCTGATACCTCATCGCCTAGCTGCCCAGGCAACTACCTGCCCAGTGCTTGGTAAGAAGCAGATCATCAAGTCTACTGCCAAGACGTTGATACTGCCTCATGGAAAAAATGCACGCAAGAGAATCGCAAATCTTATCTTCACAAGCCTTTTGCAGCTAAGGTGTATGACCTCTGTGGGCAATTCCCCAAAAGGCAAGGGACACTTGGTGTCGATGTGATGATCTGAGTCCCATGCCTAAACAGTGTGCTGTACAACTCACCACATGTGACCTCCCAGGCCAATATTCGAATTTTGCTTGCCTTTCAAGGGAAAAGCAAATAATCAGCCTGGACTGTTTTCAATATTATTGCCTTGCAGGTAGCAGAAGGCATCTTGTTCTTTCTGAAAATCTCACCATACTTGTCAAACAAATGACAAATTGCCATTTTCTGAGTCCATTTACGAAGCAAAAACGCATAATGTGGAAATTAATTGTGCACAGTGTTGGAAATTAATCCATCCAATGAAAAAGGAAGTGTTACTAAATATGGGAACTGCCAAATCTTGAGCAGCGAGTTGTGGCAATATGGACAATAATATGGACGTCAAGGCCAAACTGCTAGGCATGGCCATCCTAGATTCGCACCTCTGCTATTCTTGGATCACTCATATGTCTGCTTATGCTGCTAGGGTCACTTTGCAGCTCTCTCAGTTTGGTCATGAAGTCCGGCTGGGCCAGATATGCCCTGGTCTTCGGGTTCATGGCCAGCTTGCCAAAAAATTCTGGAGAGCTGAAGAGTCCACCGGCAGGTCCGCGGTTGGCAGCCTCTACATCTTTCAGCCCTGCCTTCAACTGCTCATTGTTGGGATCCAACTCCAATCCTGCGCACACCAGGTGTAGCACAGGCCCTCAGGGATGCCAACACCACCACCTCCAACGAGCACCAGTACAGCCTGACATATTTCTTTTGTACTTACATGCCATCAATCAACATCAGGACCCTTCCATTAATGTTTGCCAAAAGGAAGCAAAAAGACAAAAGCAACATCGCAGTGCCAATGTTCTGTGTCACTGGGAACAAGAATATGAGCACACCTTTTTCGTACGCCTCGATCGCATCTTCATGTTTTTTCAGACCGAAGTAGGCAGCTCCCAGCCTGGAGTAGCCCTTTGGCCAGTCTGCCTTCAGCTCCACAACCTGGGGACAGCACCAGGTGGACCATTCAGCCACAAGTAGTTTCCCCACCTTTGCATAAAAGATCCCAGCATAAGCATTATCGGCGCTGCCAATAGGTGCAGCATGTGAATTCAGGCCTTGTTCAGTGCACACGAAGTTTTGAGCGGCTCCCACTGATCCCTCGGAATGCATGTGCCTCTATGCAGGTACACGCTACAATCGCAATCCAATCCTAGAGAAGGGAAGGGAAGGGGGGTGGGTTCTTTGAACCAAAGATGGCAAGCAAAGGTGGCCAGAGGCGGTGAGGATTTGGACGCACCTTTTTTGCATCTTCAAGTGCCTTGTCGTACTGCTTCAAGCTGGCCTGCACAGTTCGCATACCTAATCAGGCGCAATCCCGAAAGATTCAATCCAAACAATCAGGAACACGGACTTTGCAGCTGATGATACCACACCCAACAGACGCAAGATCCACGCCGCTGTTCATGGCCGACACGTCCTTCCAATCATCCGCATTTTCACCTGGGCGGCAGAGCGATTGCTGTACAGCACGTGATTGCCGGGGTCGAGTCCAATCGCCTCCGTGAACAATCTTATGGCTTCCTCGTAATCTCCACTCGAAAAGGCGGCATTCCCTTTGGCCTGGAAACATCGCCCAACGTTGTCAGAAAAATTCAGCGCGGTGCCCTCCCACTGAGGGCCACCACGGTCCCTCCAGTCACCTCAATCATCACCTTCAGATCTGCCGCCATCCCTCCCGACGCCCCCTTTGCAAACTCTGGAACCGCACTGGTGTCCACGGCTTTGTGTACTCAATGGTGAGCCCAGGCAGGCCGGCGCCGGCTGCTGCGCGTCCGCGCCAGGAGGCTCCGGAATACTCGGCCTTGCGCTCTAGGTGCACGAGCCCAGAACGTTCTGGAGGGCCAGGAATGCTCCAATTAGCTGGAGGGTGTTGTAACCAGAACTGATTGAGCATTATTAACAACTGAATGCATGGAAAGATGATGAAGCACTAGGAATTACACTAAAGACGTTGATGAACGGACTGAATATAAAGGACAGAACGCCTGTTGTCCTTTTGCCTCGGCTGTAAACCTTTGTTGTGGGCTTGGGCGTACAATTCCCAGAGATCGCCACCCCTCGAACTTGCTTGCCTTTGTTAGTAGCCACGCAATGATGGCCATCACAGCCATCTCAATGCGCCGTGGGTTCACACCAAGCGGTCATTTCGGTGCCCAGTCATTGTGGTGGTTCATGTAGCTGCAGCCCAGAAACCAAAGTACTGGAAAGACTGGGATATGATGAGCGCGGCTATGAAACTCCCCACCACCCAACCTTGGGAACAGGGCTCCATGTGCAATTGTTGCACACATAAGCCTGATGTGGGGGATGCCCTATTAATTGTCTCTTGGTGTGGGGGACGCCCTGCCCAAGATACGGTAACAGATCCCGAACAGACCCTATACTACCATACTAAATGGGAGTTGGTCGGGGTGGTCCCGCCTAGGTCCCCATAAGGACCTAGGTGCCCGGTGAGGCGGGTCCACGGCTTAAAAGAGGGCAGGCGCCCCATACCACTAATGGTGTTGTATCATTTGGTCACGGAGCCACGTGGGGGTGGCTCGCCCGCTTGGACTGCGCGCGAAGGCAAGGACAATGCGAGACAACTCCGTTCCCGGCCTCCTCCATGGAGGCTGAGGAATCAAAGAAAGCAACCCGTGAGGGCCAGACCGTGGAAGTGGCCAGATCAGCAGCTCATGAGGGCCAAGCCATGGAAGTGGCCAAATCAGCAGCCCGAGATGGGGCGCCGGCGGTGGACACTAGTGGCATGGAAGCATCCCATAAGGGAAGGTCGGACGATGAGGGGGCAATCCAGGAGGACACGGCAAGGCCATCCGCTGGTCAGACGCAGGCTGAGGTGTAGGACCAACTGATGGAAGAAGCAGGGGAGACCCCCACAGAAGCACCGGTAGAGCCGGGTATGATGGTAGCATTTCTCCAAGCTCCTATAGGATGGGATGATTGAGTTGTTGGAGAGAATGACGGCAATTGTGGCCACCAATGCACAGGAGGCCCGCGATCAGGACGTTGCAACCCGAATCGCGCGGCTGGAGATTGAAGCCGCCTCCGACCAGAAGGAGGTGCACCAATATGAATTGGCCTTGAAAAAGGCCAAGGAGTGGAGCAGGGAGGCCGAAGCTGAGAAGGCCTCTGCGCAACAACAGGTGGTTGCCCTGAGCGACCATCTGTTGAAGCAGAAGTAGTGAGTCTGCAAAGCAGAAGAGCGGGCTTTGCCAATTCCCAAGCAGCCCGAGAGGGCCACCAGTCTGACTGGACTGAGATGCCGAGCATTCTAGAAGTAGTTGGAGAGTGGCAGGAGGTCGGCCAGTCTAGAGCGAAGAGGAAGAGTCCTTCGCTAGGTGAGAATTTTCAGCAGCCTGAGATAGGTGGGCAAGCAGGCCTGTCGGCCAGAACCCGGGTACATCGGGTTAGATCACAGGTGCATGCCAAGACACCTAGTGATGGAGAGCAGCCCAGTGGGGACTCCTTGACGGAGAGTGCACATTGGGTGTGTGATCCAAGTCCCAGCAGGTATGGGAGCCCAGTATAGAACCCATGCAGGCTGGTATTGCCATAATGGGGTCCGCAAGAGGATGCTCGAATGTTGGAATTTGAGCCGGACCTCACATCGCAGTACAGCAGACCACAAAGGTGCTGAACCTATGGATGAAGTTGCATTCAAAACGGCGCGGTAACCTTGATGAAGGCTAGAAAATAGCCTCGGAATAGTTTGGCATACAACTCACCACTGCGAAGCTGATTAAAATTCAGTGGTGGTATGGCCCCAGTATTGCAGATCAAATCACCAGAGATAACCCCAATTGGCTGGAAAAAAATGTCCCTTGCACTCAGGCATATTTTTGAGCCATAGGATCTTAATGATAGCAGCCCCAAGAGGCAAGTTCCGGATGACCCTCACCAGCGATGAGAGGAAATTCCGGAACTTTCTTTTTCATCCTGCACCTCCCCATTGCCGGGGGATATGTCAAAAAGGGCGTAGGTTGATCGCATGGAGAAGGAACGGTGATATGCTTGCAACCAAGAGCGGTTTGCTCATGCAAGGCAACTCGATGAGTGGAAAGCTCACGGAGGTCAACGTTGTAAAGAGCAGAAAGCTCTTAGATGGGAACGGGATAAACAGTTGAATCCTGATAAGTATGAGCAAAAGCGAGCAAAAAAACACCAACGCAGGGCTGAGGTCCATCGGTTCCTTCATGTAGGCAGCAACCAAAAGGTGCAGTGTGTTGAGTCCATCAGCTTGGCAAATGAATTGGACCCAGCAACACAGGCCAAGGTATTGGAGCAGCTTGAGAAAGAACTGAGGGACAAGGCACCTCATGAAGTGGAGATGACTCGCAAGGCAGCCCCTTGGGCCGATGAGTCTAGCAGCAATAAAGTGGGGTGACTCGTCCAGCCAGGTTTGGCGAACTGCAACCTTTTTCAAAGGCCAAGCAGCCCAAAGAGGCAAAAAAAAGTATCCAGGTAGAACCCCTGCTGTAGCTCCATTGGAGCCATCTCGTAGTTCACATGTCCATGAGCAAGTAGAAATGCATGATTTTGTTGGACATGATAAAGTTGTTTATGTTGGCTCAACAGGCACTCTAGGCAATCCCATTCCTTATGAGAGAAAAGAGACTTATGCGGTCTACAAGAGACAGGAAGAAGCCCTAGAGAAAGCAGCCTTGAACAAAGCACAGGAAGAGGCTGGCAAACGGGCCCAACTCCTTACTACATTAGGTATGGAAGAATTTGCTGAATTCCTCAAATTCAAGGAGGCACAGCCAACGGGCCAGCCAGCCCAAGCACCCTACCAAGGGGTGAGCAGTGCAAGTCAGGAAACCTAGGAGATCAAATACACCATGGGTAAACCTGACCTAGTTGCCAAAAAGCGGAGAGAGCCGCTTAAGGTCCGAGAGACCAAGGGAATGCAAAGGGGGCCTGTGCTCATAGTACACCCTCCCACCATGCAGGATATCTACGGTTGTTGGGATACCATAGGAGCCTTCCATGACCAAGTTGGGGGAGTATACTACAAAGGCTATTACTACCCGATCAGCAGAAAAGTGCCCTATCGGGCCTTTGTTCCTCTAGATGTACTCCGCAAGATACCGGAATGGTTGCAACCAATCTTTGAGGCACAGCAGAAGGCACTAAAAATACATGTACTAGATATTCAACAGGCAGCTGTTGAGTGGCATTCAGTCCAGCAAATGGGTAGAAAGATTTCCAGTGAGGGATTTGAGCCTGCATAAGTTGTTTCCAAAGTGCCAGCTCAGCAGGCACCTCTAGCAGCATAGGCATCTGCCCACCCATTCAAAACGAGAAGGCCAGGACTAGGACCAACGCAGCTACAACCTTATACAACGCAGTAGAAAATTGAGAGGTTGTAGGCATTATCACCATTTCGCCCTGGGCAGCAGCAGTAGCATGTTTTCCCTAGACAGTAGCAACCACCATTGGCACTACCGGAACCACAACCTTAGCAGCCTTTTCAGGCCATCCAGCAACCATTCTAGGCACAACCACAACATCCACCCATGGCACAACAGCCGCCAATAGCCCAACAACATCAGCCAGTGTAGCCAGTTTAACCAACGCTACTAGCTCTTATGGGAACAGTGCAGCAACAACCAGTTGGACCGGGGCCGATGCTGCAATTTAGACCATCACAACTAGGATATGGCTAGGAGAGCAGGTGGGCCCGGCCAGATGGGATAGGGACAGGAATGGGACAGTGTCCGTTCCTGTCCTAAGAATGGACCCATTCCCATTCCTGTCCCAGTCCGTCCCAATCCGTCCAAATCCGTTCCAGTCCGTTCTTGGGACGTTCCCAAGGAACAAATTTGGACCCGATTTGGGCTAGACCATAATGATATTGGAACGGATCTGCTCTTGTCCAAAGATGGATCCATTCCTACTGAAGAACAGATCCATTCCTAACCAGGAATGGGTCTGTTCTTGGTAGAGAACGGCCTTGTCTTTGTCCATTCCGTTCCATTCCAATCCGTTCCCTAGGGACGGGCCATGCAAATTAGAGCCCTTACAAGTCAGGGGGGGGGGGGCACTAGCGGACCAGTGTATGTTTGGGAGGTATTCATACGGCTGGATTGAGGTCCAGAACACACAAATTGCCCAGAAAACCTGGCTTGCAACAAAGGCAACATGCACATTGCCCAATGCATAGGTTGAGCATATACTGTATACCAAAAAATTTTTGCGAGTGAAAAATTTTTGTGCATTTCGTGGTCCAGTCAATGCGCGAAAGTATTTCTCCACGAAAATTTTGGTCCCACGAATTTTTTTCGCCCGCGAACTTTTTGGCACCCCTCAGGGTGGGTCAGGCACTGGGCGCACAGTTTGACCTCTTGGCTTTGCGCTGCGGGGTGTGGCCCCCGCCGAGTGGCAAAGAAGCCCCAAACTGGCCAGCGGGGAGTTCGCAGAGCAGTGGCCATCGGCTGGCCGAGTCTCCATGGAGCCCACAAGTTTTTGAGAGCATTTCGAGGGCAAAGGCACAGTGTGGCTTGCAAAGCTATCAGCGATCAAATCTGTGCCTGCATCAAGCCCATCGAATGCACAAGGAGTGCGCCCTAGGGATGGCCCACAGGGTGGCTCTGGATGCGGCACGAATGCTGCAGCGCATGTCGCCTCTCATGGGCACCCATTCCCACCATCGGCAGGTGCCATTTCAGGC